CAAAGCTAAAAAAGGCTTAAAGTGAGTTTACTTTAAAGTGAATTCAGTCGCCTCACTTTATAGAAAACTGAGGCCTGGACAGGTGAAGTCACCTGTACATACTCGTTCACTTTCTCATCTATTCAATGAATGCATTATGATTGAATCTCTTCCCTATGCTGGATGCGAAGATCTAAGTCAGCCAAGAAGACAAATTCCAGCGGCTTTGCAATCAGAGAACCAGCAACACCAAAGAAGCCACTGAGGCTGGAATGTGGATTTGCCCCCAGTGGCATGTCCTGGCTCTTCTGGGGAACTCAAGTCGCTGAAGACCAAAGAATATGGGGGACTCTATGATGTTCCATAGGCTGCTCTAGCTCATTCTGCAGAAGCCAGTAGTCCTATAAATTTCATAATGTACGCTTCTCTCCAGAGTGTCCAGAAATACTTTGACACTTTCCTGATGGACTCAAGTTCACTTTCATTTTCTGTCCTGTGCTGAAATAAGAAGTAAGTTTAAACTCCCCTCCCATCCAGGCTGCCACATAACATTGAGCAAAGTTCCCTGTCCTAGACAGTAGGAGTTTGGGGGAGAATGGATACATGTATATGTATGGCTGAGTCCCTTTGCTGTGTACCTGAAACTATCACAGCGTTGTTAATTGGCTATACTCCAATATAAAGTAAAGAGTTAAAAAAAAGAGAGAAGTAAGTTTAAGCAATGGGAGATAAGCTCTTTCCTTGCAAATAGATGCCTACGACACTACTAAAAAAAAATCTGGTAAAGCAATTATACTCTAATAAAGATGTTTAAAAAAAAAATCTGCATAGCAAGCTTGATGCTAATAGCTTTCAGTTATGCTCGCCTAATGATGCCCAAGCTCTTACAAATTCATTATGAGCCCTCTCTGCTTCCCTTTTATTACTATGCTGTCATTTTTTTTTAATTAGTAATGCTTTGGATTCAACATATAACTTGATGGGTACCATCAAAGGAACACTCGTAAAAAGTTCTTTTCTCAACAAGGTCAAGATTGTTCCCATTATTGTTTATAATAGCTTTCATGTTCCTCTGAATTTTGTTTCATTTTCTTAAAATCTATGAAAAGTTGTATTTTTATGCTCTTGGATTAATTATAATTACATCACGGGTACCAGTACTTAGTTGCGCATTTAATCTAGGCTGGGGATTTTGTGTTTCTCTATATCTCACACAGTGCTGAAAATAATTCTTTGGTGGGATAAGAAGATAGAGTACATGTGGATACTTAAGGAGGTATTGATGGAGTCATGGAGTAGTATCTTCCTGTTAGCTAAAATCTAACAGATTTAATGTCTGCTTTTTTAAAAAAGACCATTTCCTGAACTCATCTTCTGTTTTTCACTGTTTGTAGTGAAAGTCTGGACTTTGTCCAGACTCTCCCTCACCGATGTGTGTTACTGATGAGAGGCACCCCAGCCCAGCTTCGAGCCTCACTCACCCTGGTCATCTCAGGGTGTTGATACCTGCATCGTCTTCCAGTGACCAAGCCCACAGTGCTTTCCTCTTCCTCTGTGTGTAATGCATAGCCATCCACATGCATACTCAGTCTGTGCTTTGAGGCATAGGAAATGGAATTTTAAAATGCAATAATCCATTCCCACAAGAAAAGGGTTTAAAGTATCCCTGCCAATAATGACAGCTTTCCCTCTCCATCTCTTTGCAGGCACGCCTGGTTGTGAAGTACACGTGCACCCTGATTGTCCCTCTGGCTGATATAGAGACGCAGCGCATTAACTATCTGGTTAATATAGAGACGCAGTGCATTAACTAAAGCCTGAGAATGGAGCCCATTTCTACTATTAACCATTTATTAAGTCAACAAGTAACTAATGACGACACTCTTCTTTCTAGCGTGCAGCAGTTTTATGCATTTAGCGGTATTATTCTTTGAACAGATGTGTCTTTTCAAAGCTGTCTTCCTTTCCTAGGAACAGAGGATTTCTTAATTGTATGCTTGTAAGCTGCTTCAAAAGGTGTCTCTGAACACACCACTGAGATCCTTCCTTACAGAGGGCCCAGTGATATGCAAACCAACCCCTCATCAGGATGTGAACAGCCAGCTCCCCACATCAAGCACCCAATTAGCTCGTATTCTTTTGCTAAACGTACTCCTCAGCCAATGCAGTGAGCCTCAATGCTTTGATCTGGAAGCCTTAGAAATACCTGGCAGTTACTTGAATGTGGCAGTATCAGAACTACAAAAGATAAGCAGGAAGCATTTCACAGCCCGTCAGCAAACTGTAGGATTTGAGAGCAGACACCCAGGGTTGTATCAAATTTCCCTCCACGTTAATGTTTTGAATAACCAAGCTCGTTAGCCAGGTTTTTGCTCAGCACTTCCCTTTATCGATAAAAAGGAGCATTCACAAAGAATCAACATCTAAAGTTCATCAGGCAACTGCAATTACTTTTATGATGTCCTCAATGCCGAGCTTTAACAAAGAAAACCTCGCTTCTATACTCTGAAAGGCACCGATAGATGCTGGCAACCACATTGATAGCACTTTTTCCTCAAGAAGTATAATAAGCTCTTGGGTCACCTTCAAAATATGCTTACGTTCTTTCCCTGGAATAGAGTTACTGTGAGGTATCAAGTGACTGAAAAAGCGAGGAGAAGAAATAAAATGATTGCTCAGCAGGAAAAGCGTGATGGTGGTGTTCCAGCCTGCCTCTCCGCCAGAGCAAAGGTCATGGAAATTCAGCGTGAGCCCAAGTGGGTCTTCAGCAGCAGACACCGTGAGCGCGATCCTGGCACAAGTGGTGTTTGTGTGACAGCTGCATATATGGGCTCCAGCTCCAGCCTCAGCCCTGCTCTGCAGAGGAAAGTGCGTCCCACAATTTCCCACTGAGTCATGAGATCAAGTAAGAATTCCTCTGATGTCTTTAAATAGCCTTGGCTCCAGCAAGCAAACGTGGGTGTGGTTACTGAGTGTGCCTGTGTGTGCCTGGCGGGGATAAGCAGGTCTCCGGTTGCTGCTGGAGGGCGCTGTGGAGGGGGCTCTGGAGGGGACTGCAGTTGCCTCCCAGTGACACTGGTAAGATCTGTTTGCAGTGGTTCAACACAAGAGCTCATGCACTAAGGTGCTCATGGAACGATGGTGTCTGATGGTAAAGGCAGGAATTGGCTGCCTTCTTTGCTGGATGGGAAATTGATGTTGGGGTCTGCTGGAAAAATCACTTGTCCTGTGAATAAGTTACATGGACCACCACCAGCCCCCGCCCCCCCCCCAGCCTTGAGCAGCGCTTAGAAGACATAAGACCACAGTCCCCCATACTAAAGCTGCCTGAGTCTGAACCTGAGAAAGAGCCACCCACTGCCCCAGGCTTTGTTGCCCTTCCCCACATGGGGTGAAGGCAGAAGGGGGAATTAGGGTGAGACGACTGCTAGAATGGGGGTTTGACTGATTCATCCTGGTCGTGTCCTTTGGTTTCTGAAACCCGGGACTCAGTCTGCTCTACGCCATCTAGTGTGTTATCTTTGCTTCAGTCCTTTCTCTTTAGTGGGGATCACAACTTGCCACATTGTGGAAACCCACGTGGGTCTGTCTCTTTCACCAGAATTTGAGCTCCTTGGTAGAAGGAGCTGAGCGTTATTCCTCTCGAGGTCCTTGCCCAGGGAAGGGGCTAATAAATATAAATTTAACTGAATTAAACTAAGGGTAGTAAGAAGTTAGATAAATCCTAGCAGCAACCCCCATTCCTGTCTTGCTATTACTTGTTGTGTCCTGTAAACAAACGTGCCAAGAAACCCGAATGCTTGGACTTCCACTGATCTGAAGGTACTGTAGGTTCACTGCTACCTTTTCATTCTAATTCTTGAACTGTCACCACATAGTGATGTCTCAGGGGCTCTTGGCTGCTGTGACAACAGTGAGGTTCAGGGACTCTCGTGGCAGGAGCTCTGTAATTCCTCGTCCTGATTCTGCGTTTAACTGACAGCTGTGTACTCTCAGAATTAAAAACAAAACAAACCATATTTTTACAGATCCTTTTGTCTAAAGAGTTTTGCGTGTTGCAAACTCATCTTTAAATGTCCATATGGGAAAGCCAAGTGGCAAATATCACCCTTCTCTGAATGTGAAAAAGGTAATGAATTTTTTGGGTGGCCTGTCTTTGCCTTACCTCCTCCTTCCTGCCTTTTGGCCATTTTTTCCCCTATTATTAGCTCATCTCTGAGAAGGCAAATGTATACGGGAGGAATAATGAAATTATTAAAGGATAATGTAACCACTGGCAAGCGTCTCTAGAAAAGCTCAAGGATGTGACCGTGAGTGCAAGAGGAGGATTGGGAAAGAAGGTGGACACTGAATGTTAGCTTTGGTTTGTATTTATTCTCTGAAAGCCATCACTCTGTACCCCCGTCACTCACCACCAGATGTCAGCACGAGCGCCTGGGTTGTTACCCAACAGTCATTCTGGAGACAAAGTTCCTGTGGCTGTTTCCCCCCGGGACTCGTGGGGAAGCTCTGGCTGATTTGGTCATTGCCGGGAGGGCAGGGCCCCAGCTTGCTCTTTGGTCCCAAGTGATGCTTGATGGCGGCTGAGGTGGGAGCATGTCTTGCCAGTGCTACCCACGTTGCCAATTCAGGGGCTGAAATCAGATGGTGTCAATGCCTCCTATATCGTACCTGGCCCACTGCACATACTTAACAAATATTTCACTTTTGATTGACTTTGAATCAGACCTGCTGTCCTCCCTTCCAAAGGCTGAATCCCACCGCTCCCCAGAAGAATCAGAATTATTTCTCTTTGGGGAAAACCCAAGTCCTCTTTCAATTAATGTTTAGAAGGAGATGAACATAGTATTATGCGGGTTATTAAGAACATACAGAGCTAAAAGCAAACGCCTCCTTAGAAGGGGCGTTCAGTGTGATTTAGCAAATAATAGCACAAGCATCGACCCACAGAAACAGGAAGAGGAGAAGGTTTAGACCAGGAAAGTACCCGGCTAAGTCTGTCGGTGTCTCCGGCGCCCACGTCAGGTATGTTTTTTGTCCTTCAGGTAACTAAAGAGCATCTCCAGACCCCCCTCCAGCAGCTCGGGCAGAGGTTTGGATAAAGGGTTGTGGGAAATGTGAAGCCCTTTGTCCATGGGGTTCCAAGCGATCCTGGCCAGTCTGCACAGCAGGTAGAGCTCCTCGGGGAGGGTCTGGATGTCATTGTTGTTCAAGTTCAGCAGCTCCAGGCTCGTGAGCAGGCAGAGGGAGCGGGGGAAGGTGTGGATATTGTTACTCTCGGCAATGAAGATCTGCAGGCTGGCCAGGCACTGGATGCTCTCGGCAATGTTCTCCAGGCGGTTGGAGCCCACGTGCAGGAAGTCCAGCTCCCTGAGCGAGAACACGCAGACAGGGATGTGTGCAAAGCGGTTGTGGCTGAGGTTCAGCTTGCGCAGCCGGGAGAGGTCCGCGAGGCTGGCGGGGAGCTGGGACAGGAAGTTGTGCGACAGGCTCAGGACCTCCAGGTTCCGGCAGGCGCTCAGCTCTGCCGGCAGCTCCGTCAGGCAGTTCATGTGCACAAACAGGACCTTGAGGCTCTGGAGGAGGCTGACCTCCCGGGGCAGGGTCTTCAGGCGGTTCCCGCACAAGTTCAAGACCACCAGCCGTGTCAGCTTCCCCACCTCGGGCGGGAGGGCCCGGAGCTGGTTGTGGGACAGGTTGAGCTTCTGCACTTCTGACAGGCTCCACAGGAAGTCAGGAGCATCTGTCATGCCCTTGGTGACCAGGCTGAAACTGACGTGCCGCAGGCCCCGCTTCAGCAGACACCGCGGGTCCCTCCCCGAGAGCAGAGCATCGTCCCACGGGGAGAACTTCTGCCTCCCCCGCAGGACCCCCCGCCCCGGGAGGCCCTTGTCCTTGCAGCGGGCACCAGACTGCCTGGCCCCCATTTACCTGCCTTCCTCGTGCCCCTCTGTCGCCGCAGGTGGGGATGGGCTCCCGGCCCAGCTGCTGAAGCCCGGCAGGGAGCCGATCGGGTGATGGGAGCCGTGGCCGGTGGTGCCGCAGGGTGAGTAGGACTTGGGGGGGGGGTCCCAGATCCCCGGCTCTCAGGGTCCCAGATGCCTGGTGTTCGGGGTCCCAGATGTCTAGCTGCGCCACCGAGAGCTGCCCGTCTTCCAGGCTGGGTTGAAGTGGCTTCTCTCGGAGCAGCCGGGCTGTAATGATACCCTTGTCCCTGAGGCTGCAGAACTGAACCTCTCGGGTCCCTCTGAACACCACGGGGCAGCTGTCACTGTCATTCTGCCTGCACTTTATTGGTCTGGTGTGTGCAAACAGGTCAAGGGGAGGCCGTGCCTGACTTTCCTGTCTCTGCTTTTCTGGGTGTCACAGCTGAGCAGGGCGATTAACCAGCCCGTCTCCGAAAAGAAGCCAAGGGGAAAAATAAAGCCAGGGTGTCTGCAGGTCTCAGGCTTATCCGGACCGTGGAGCGGAGCCGGGCTGAATGTAAGTCGCAGAATTATGTTCCCAAAGTTAAGGATTGGCAGACGTAACATACATACCGATTCAAACCGCAGTGAATCATGTCGTTGTGAAAAAGTAACAGAGGGAGCCGGGACACCTGGAATCCTCCAGGACAGGGTTTTACACGGTACTGGTCAGAGGTGATTCCTTGAGGAGAGGGTGAAGGGGTCTTGACCACACTCCCATTTTCTCCCAGAGAAGCTCTGGGGTCCTCTGTTCTACAGAGAGCTCCTGGGCTTGGTAGGGTGCTCTGTAAATGTTTGGACAGCCCTTGACTGTCCACTTAGTAAGGAAAGCACGGTGCCTATTGTCCTGGAAAGTAGTCTGGAGAGGCCTCCCTGGGTACACACCTCTCTCCATCTCTCTCACTGAACAAGTTAACTTACATCCTAAGTAGGTAGTCAGTTGTTGGTGTCATGGGCTGAACTGTGCCCCCGCTCCCAAATTTCCAACGATGAAATCCTAACTTCCAGTAACTCAGAATGTGACCGTGTTTGGAGACAAGGCCACATGAGGACACAGGAAGAAGACGGCCATCTGCAAGCCAAGGAGAGAGGCCTAAGAAGCAACCTACCTGCCAACACCTTCTCTTAGATTTGCAGCCTCCAGAATTGTGGAAAATAAATTTCTGCTGTTTAAGCTCCCCCACTGGCCAAGTCTATGGAGCTTTGTGTGGCGGCCCTGGCAAACTCACCCAGCTGGGGCACAGGCGGACACATCTGCATAGGTGAAATAATCCTAAAAATAAGTTGTGGTTAAGGGGAGAAGAGATATCGAGGTTGATGGCCCAGGTTCTCAGAAAAGGGCATATGGGCTTTGCAACGGCTGGCGTGGCCCGCAGGCCTGCGGCTTTTGCTGGCACAGCTGTGGCATAGCAGTTGGGCCTCCTGGACAGCAGTGCTGGTCCTGTGACTGTGGTCTCAGAACAGTCATCACCAAGCCAGGACCTTGAGCTGGGCTCTGGCTGGATGCCGCCCCGGGGAAGCTGCAGGCCCATCCACTGAGGTGGAGTGGCAGGAAGTGTAAGACAGTGCCAGGCCATCTCTGCCCCACTTGGCATTTGAGAGCGCTCTGACCCCTTTCAACTGATTAAGCCCCAGGCATTCCTGGACAAAAGTGGACACTCTAGACTTTTTATTTTTCTTTCTGTATGCGGGCCTCTCACTGTTGTGGCCTCTCCCGTTGCGGAGCACAGGCTCCGGACGCGCAGGCTCAGCGGCCATGGCTCACGGGCCCAGCCGCTCCACGGCATGCGGGATCCTCCCGGACCGGGGCACGAACCCGCGTCCCCTGCATCGGCAGGCGGACTCTCAACCACTGCGCCACCAGGGAAGCCCACTCTAGACTTTTTTTTATGGTATATCTGAGTATACCATAGGTATTAATTGGGGAAGGGGGTGGGGGAGTAACGTGACTAAATTTGTATCCTAGGTTTTTGGAGCAGATCACACCTTATATATGTAAATTTCATGTGACAATAGAATTCTTCTGCTTCCATGAGCCTGAGAAATTATGCTAGAATATCTGAAATGTTGAGACCAGCAGGAGCTGGAGTGGTTTGAGAAAGAGTCATGGCTTTCTTCTTTGTGACAATTCTCTTTCCCCTTAATACATTCTTTCCAATAAATACTTTTTGAGCACTTATCAGTAGCCAATATTGATCGAATATTTACTATGTGAAATGCACTGCACTAGGCACTTTACATAGAAGATGAATATTAAAATTAACTCCATTTTAATATGAGGAAAAGGAAGCCAGAGAGAGGTCAAGTTGCTAATGCAAGATCAAGTTGCTTGCCCAACTTCAAGTATCTACTCAATGGCAGGACCAGAATTCAAACCCAGTTAGTCTGACTCAACAGCCCTGGCTGGAACCATAAGAAAACTCTGGGCTTAAACGTATACAGAGCTGGAATAACTGTGGCTAGGATATGGTTTTCTGTTTTCAAGTTTCTATGGAGTAGGTCTGGAGAGAACATAGGTAAAGAAATGACTCTGTAACCACATAATAGAAATAACTACATAATTAGGCATTAACCCTACTTTCTCTCCCCCAACACAACTAGGAGAAGCCAAAGTTAAAATACCATTCCCAAAGACTTTCGCATAATGGATTTAATCCCCTCCCCAAAATAGTTCAGTTCTTTTTTTTTTTTTTCCATCTTTATTGGAGTATAATTGCTTTACAATGGTGTGTTACTTTCTGCTTTATAACAAAGTGAATCAGTTATACATATACATATGTCCCCATATCTCTTACCTCTTGCATCGCCCTCCCTCCCACCCTCCCTATCCCACCCCTCCAGGTAGTCACAAAGCACCGAGCTGATCTCCCTGTGCTATGCGGCTGCTTCCCACTAGCTATCTGTCTTACATTTGGTAGTGTATATATGTCCATGCCTCTCTCTCGCTTTGTCACAGCTTACCTTTCCCCCTCCCCATATCCTTAAGTCCATTCTCTAGTAGGTCTGTGTCTTTATTCCTGTCTTACTCCTAGGTTCTTCATGACATTATTTTTTTCTTAAATTCCATATATATGTGTTAGCATACAGTATTTGTCTTTCTCTTTCTGACTTACTTCACTCTGTATGACAGACTCTAGGTCTATCCACCTCATGACAAATAGCTCAATTTCGTTTCTTTTTATGGCTGAGTAATATTCCATTGTATATACGTGCCACATCTTCTTTATCCATTCATCCGATGATGGGCACCTAGGTTGTTTCCATCTCTGGGCTATTGTAAATAGAGCTGCAATGAACATTTTGGTACAGGACTCTTTTTGAATTGTGGTTTTCTCAGGGTCTATGCCCAGTAGTGGGATTGCTGGGCCATATGGTAGTTCTATTTGTAGTTTTTTAAGGAACCTCCATACTGTTCTCCACAGTGGCTGTATCAATTTACATTCCCACCAACAGTGCAAGAGGGTTCCCTTTTCTCCACACACTCTCCAGCATTTATTGTTTCTAGATTTTTTGATGATGGCCATTCTGACTGGTGTGAGATAATATCTCATTGTAGTTTTGATTTGCATTTCTCTAATGATTAATGATGTTGAGTATTCTTTCATGTGTTTGTTGGCAGACTGTATATCTTCTTTGGAGAAATGTCTATTTAGGTCTTCTGCCCATTTTTGGATTGGGTTGTTTGGTTTTTTGTTATTGAGCTGCATGAGCTGCTTATAAATTTTGGAGATTAATCCTTTGTCAGTTGCTTCACTTGCAAATATTTTCTCCCATTCTGAGGGTTGTCTTTTCATCTTGTTTATGGTTTCCTTTGCTGCGCAAAAGCTTTTAAGTTTCATTAGGTCTCATTTGTTTATTTTTGTTTTTATTTCCATTTCTCTAGGAGGTGGGTCAGAAAGGATCTTGCTGTGATTTATGTCATAGAGTGTTCTGCCTATGTTTTCCTCTAACAGTTTGATAGTGTCTGGCCTTACATTTAGGTCTTTAATCCATTTTGAGCTTATTTTTGTGTATGGTGTTAGGGAGTGATCTAATCTCATACTTTTACATGTACCTGTCCAGTTTTCCCAGCACCACTTATTGAAGAGGCTGTCCTTTCTCCACTGTACATTCCTGCCTCCTTTATCAAAGATAAGGTGACCATATGTGTGTGGGTGTATCTCTGGGCTTTCTATCCTGTTCCATTGATCTATCTTTCTGTTTCTGTGCCAGTACCATACTGTCTTGATTACTGTAGCTTTGTAGTATAGTCTGAAGTCAGGGAACCTGATTCCTCCAGCTCCGTTTTTCGTTCTCAAGATTGCTTTGGCTATTTGAGGCCTTTTGTGTTTCCATACAAATTGTGAAATTTTTTGTTCTAGTTCTGTGAAAAATGCCAGTTGTAGTTTGATAGGGATTGCATTGAATCTATAGATTGCTTTGGGTAGTAGAGTCATTTTCACAATGTTGATTCTTCCAATCCGAGAACATGGTATATCTCTCCATCTATTTGTATCATCTTTAATTTTTTTCATCAGTGTCTTATAATTTTCTGCATACAGGTCTTTTGTCTCCTTAGGTAGGTTTATTCCTAGATATTTTATTCTTTTTGTTGCAATGGTAAATGGGAGTGTTTTCTTGATTTCAGTTTCAGATTTTTTCATCATTAGTGTATAGGAATGCCAGAGATTTCTGTGCATTAATTTTGTATCCTGCTACTTTACCAAATTCATTGATTAGCTCTAGTAGTTTTCTGGTAGAATCTTTAGGATTCTTTATGTATAGTATCATGTCATCTGCAAACAGTGACAGCTTTATTTCTTCTTTTCTGATTTGGATTCCTTTTATTTCCTTTTCTTCTCTGATTGCTGTGGCTAAAACTTCCAAAACTATGTTGAATAAGAGTGGTGAGGGTGGGCAACCTTGTCTTGTTCCTGATCTTAGTGGAAATGCTTTCAGTTTTTCACCATTGAGGATGATGT